ATTTTCTTTTACTAGCCTTCCATTCACCCTTTCTCCCTATGTGACGGAACCTTACCGAAAAGGAGGAAGTTGTATATTGTACGTAGGACTATCTAAGTACAACATTCATACTGTTATGAACAAAAGAGTGAGGTTGGGTAGAAGATAAATTCATTCAATTCCGTTGTCCTGTGATATAACAAAGGTTGCGAACGGTTGCATAATGAAAAGTATTGCATGAAAGACTGAATTACGTTTGCTTAGCATATCATGTCTTCAGGGAGCAGATTAATTGGAATTTTTGATTTGATTTGTAGAAGAAATCACGAAACAGTTGAGTTCAAACACCCAGAACCGATTGCTAGGAAAAGTTTCATGAGTTCAAAACGCCGAAATACTGACACAACAAAATTTCTTATATTAAACGAAGGCACACTCTTTATAGATGCCGCGTGGCCGTGGCTTAACGCCGTCTGTTAGCGATTTCATAAATCATTTAACCCTCCTTTAAAGGAGAAAAAACCAAGCTGCAGAAAAATGATTTACTGATCAACTATTTAGTGGCATCTATATTCCAATTTTGGTGTTCTATATGACCTCTAACTATAGGACAGAGATTGGTAGGTAGTCGCATTAAGCTTCTAAGCTTATTGGCATCTCGCTAAATTTTTCATAAAATTTCCTTACATGCCAAACAAAAAAAAGTTTGGCCAAACTTGCATATTCTCATAGCTTAACGTATAGTTAATGGATATTACCTTAATAATTCAGACTCTTTTAGAACAATTCTAATCCTTGAATTTTCCTACGATAGGCGCGCCTTCACCACTTTCCAAATTTTGCAGTTCCAATCTCAAATTGTGATAGGCATTTAATATTTGATTTTTTTCTAATGCTCATGATTTAAAGGTGACGTGTCGGCTATGGTTTTTCCCTACGCAATTAGCTTTCCTTTCGCAAGTCGTAATATATTCGTTCACACATAAAGTCATTAGCCTCAAATCTCACGCTTGTCTATTTATAGTCTGTTTACTCCGATGCCAAACTCCTATTCGCTCTCTTCTGTAACCTATTATTTGATAACGACTAGCTCGCAGAGTTGGTCGAACAGGCGAGACCTCTGTACTTGCCGTAATTTACAGATTATGACGAGACGACAACTCGTCCTAATTCAAGAAGTATGAATTTTTGCAACCGCTTGAACTAAGGCCGTAAGGTAGGACAAAAATTGAGGATAAGTTCAAAAAGATTTTGTAGCGGCCATGAGCAGTCTTTCTGAGTAACTGAGCTAAGAATTCTCCAAAATTCTAAAGCTTGGGTATTCCACAAAATAAGAAATGATTTAATGAAGAAAAATGTAGAAATATAACGCAGAGGTAAAAAAAAATACCAAAAACTTCTTAAAAAATTAAATTCAAAAGATCTAAATTGAATCGAAGGTATTCACCTGACATATAGCGAGATTGGCACAACGGTATTGAGAAGGATCACATAGGAGAAGAACATTAGAAACGAGATGACAGCGATTTGCTGCGACCCTAAGAAAACCAGAAATGTTGAATAAATGGAAAAGTGGAAACAATGCTTCCATACCATGCTGATGGCGATTTGGGACTATATCATCCCATGGCAAATAGATGGTAAACCATCGACCAGTTGTCCATTCCCATACCCCACAAAGTATAGTGCAGATTAAACACATCGCAATAAGAAATAATACAATCTAAAGAGTTGGATTGTCTTTAGAAGAGCATAGTACAAGGGCTAGTTCGCTTATGGTCTGATAGTGTTCGGAAGACATTAGAAACAAGATTTAGCTCTTATTGATTTACTAATCTAAGCTATTATCTTGGATTTTCGTTAATATACTACAGAAAGGCTTGAACGA